TCAAAGTACTGGCTTTGATATACAAGTTTCTTTATGGTTCGGATCCTGTGTATCTGAGGTTAAAGCACAAAAAGAGATGGCTCGAGTATCCCAGTTGATCTCAGCTGTTAAAAGACCAACAACCACTTGCTTTGTACATATAGAGAAAATTTTCTAAACGGAATTTGCTTCCCTCCTCATCTGTCTCCATTGAGAGGGGAAGGTTGCAAGGCCTATCTATTTTCTCAGGCTTTTCTTGAAAGTGGTTTGAAAGGGTGGAAGACCAAAAGAATTTTTATAGAAGGGTTATTGTTCATTGATGTTGGTTCACTTGCTGAGTTTCAGTATATGAGGTAGTTATTTTACACATACCTAACTAACTGTCACAATAGATTTTTTGTAAAAATGAAAAATTAAATGTTTTTTTTCCAGATGTTCAAATCTGGAGTGGAGATGCGTACATGTTTGTGTGATCAATGGCAATACGGGGGGAAATTTTCTGGTTCTAAACACTAGTCCATCAAACTCAAGCAGGCTGCAGTATACCAGGCCTTGGGGAGCTACGGGGGGGAAAAACACACTGATTATGTTCTTATTTGTCCCTCTTCTACTCTGCAGCTACTTAAAATCATGTTGCAACTGATTTCAGTGATGGTGAGAGAGAAAGGTCAAGATTTAAAATAAAGTTTGGATAAACCACGTATGGGAGCTTCTGGGTGCTTATCACTTTTGGAAAGTCAGGCCACATATTTGGGAGCCTAACTTTAGGCACTTATTTTTTTAAATTTCAGTCTTATTCTTCATACCATTTGAAAACTGGGATTTGCAAGCTTTTCAGAGAGTGTAAATAAATCAATACCTAGTTCTTATGCTAACTACTGATGGAAAATGCTATAAACAGCTTTACAAAAGTATCATTATCCCTATTTTACACTTAAGGCATTTAAAGCATTATTTTGCAGTCATTTGTTTTCTAGATATTAGACAGTAAAATCATGTTGGAATTCACACGGAAAAAATATGGTAATCACAACATGCATAGCTAACAAACAAAAAACTAATTCCTGTTTTCTCATGGCATACAGCACACCTTTTTTGCAATGATGAGTCATGAGATAATGAAACTTAACACTATCAGCTTGTTAATCTATCAGTGCTTCTCTTGGGCACTTGTCCAGTATCATATACGTCGGATTGGCAGGATTTGATTTAAATCATTAGTCATCATTAAATATCAATTTCACCTGACATAGAAATCAACAAAAAATATCTAAGACAGTCGACAAGTGCCACTTCCCCCACAGCTAACACCTACAGGGATCTGTTGTCACCAGCTTGGTGACCATGCAGGGAGCACTCTGCAGCCCCACTGTCACCTCCCCGCTTACTCATTCACAGCCAGGTGTACAGGGGCCATCCCCAGGCAGAAGTCATTTCCTACGAAAGGAGACTCGAGGAGCTCGGTTTGTTTAGCCTAACCAAAAGAAGGCTGAGGGGGGATATGATTGCTCTCTTTAAATACATCAAAGGGATAAATACCAGGGAGGGAGAGGAATTATTTCAGCTCAGTACTAATGTGGACACGAGAACGAATGGATATAAACTGGCCGTGGGGAAGTTTAGGCTTGAAATTAGACGAAGGTTTCTAACCGTCAGAGGGGTGAAATTTTGGAACAGCCTTCCGAGGGAAACGGTGGGAGCGAAAGACCTCTCTGGCTTCAAGATTAGGCTAGATAAGTTTATGGAGGGAATGGTTTAATGGGATAACGTGATTTTAGTCAATTAGGTAATAAAGTGCCATCGCTGGTAAAATGTGGGTCTGGCTAGAGAATCTTGCCTGTATGCTCGGGGTTCTACTGATCGCCATATTTGGGGTCAGGAAGGAATTTTCCTCCAGGGTAGATTGGCAGAGGCCCTGAAGGTTTTTCGCCTTCCTCCGCAGCATTGGGCAGGGGTCGCAAGCTGGAGGATTCTCTGCGACTTGAAGTCTTTAAATCACGATCTGGAGACTTCAACAGCTGAGTTAAGGGAAAGTGGGTGGGTCAGCTTTTGTGGCCTGCATCATGCGGGAGGTCAGACTAGATGACCATAATGGTCCCTTCTGACCTTTAAGTCTATGAGTCTATCAGTAGGGTGGCCTTGCGAAGGGCTGGGAGTTCACCCTCCTCCTCATGGAGTCTGGACCACAGCCTCCCCTGAACGTTGTGGCCAGGTGTCAGGCCCATTGGCCATGCGGGGAGCCCCCTGAAGTCCCGCTGTCAGCACTACCCTAACACTAACCCCCCTTAATGTCCTGCAACTGTGAAAATTAAATGATTAACAATAGAAAATGCTTAAAAATAAATATTAAACATTAAAAAAAATTTTTTTTCATCAAATTTTGCCAAGCCTGTGTATATAGCAAGTCCCAGATTGGTGAAATTTTCTATCCTTAACACCATTTTCAGATTCTTTCCAAATATTGAGACATATAAGAAAATAAAACAGTTAATTCAAAATCTTGGGTGTATATATTTTCTTAATTCACCACTACTGAAGAGTACCAGATTGACAGCATTTGCGACAGAACGTCTCAATCCAGATAGCTGGTAGGTCATAGGCAACAGGAGTTCAAGTTTCTGCAAACTGTCCCATCAATGTTAGTTCAAACCTGCTTTGGAGGGCCATCTTTAAATAAATTAGGTCTTCAGCACTTAACTCTGTTAAACCTTTCAGTTAGCAAAACCGGTACTGGTCTGTGTCATGCAGACACTTACGCTTGGGGAGTGGGCTGAAGCCATCATTAAGGCCAAGTCTACACTACAGATCTATCTCAGTATAACTACATCGCTCAGGAGTGTGAAAAATCCACAGCTCTGAGCAACAGAGTTATACAGACCTAGCCCCCCCACAGACAGTGCTATGTCGATGAGAGAGCTTCTCTCATTGACATAACTACCATCTCTCTGGGAGGTGGATTTACACTACACCAGCGCAGCTGCACCAATGCAACATTTTACATGTAGATCTGCCCTTAGTTTCATGCAAGTCAGACATTAGATCAGACCTTGCAGTCACTACCAGCCCAGACCAACTTCAAACCAACAATCCAACAACATTTTGTTTTAAATTAAGTTGGTTTTGGTACAAAGAACAAGCAATTCCTCTTCATCTCCATGAATTTTAACGCTGATCAAAGGGGTTTTACTGACAGCAACGGAAATCAGAGTCCATCAAACAAACAGAACACGTGTAGCATCAGTGCAAAGGTCCCTCAAAATAACCTGCTAAAGCATCTGCTCTGGAGCAGCCTTTTCTAGGGCAGGAATAATAGGCTGAAACAATTTCAGGAAGGGGGTGGTGGGTGAGTGGAGATCACCTCTCTTTGATGCACCCAGCTCTTATTAACTTCAAAGGAAACTAGATGTTCACCTCAATGGGAGAAATTAAACACTGCATTTCTGGATTGATAATTTCTACGCTAATTTCACTGACTGATAAAGATGTGGACCCCAGTCCTGCCAACACTCAAGTATGTGCATAACTTTATTCATGTGTTAAATAGTCTCAATGAAGTCAATGAGACCATACACAAATAGTTACCCATATGCTCAGGAAAGGGAAGGAAGGCTTAAAACAAGATTTATATATCCCTGAAGACCGAGGGGGCAGGGGGGGAAAGTTTAGTGGAAAAGGTAGCACATTTCCATATGTCACAGATACTAGCTATCACTATAGTATAAACGTAAAAATAGTCCAATTGTCATCTTACAGAGTGATCAAAGGGTAACATGTCACTAAAAGAGTTAGTGGTGAAAAAGTAGCACTGCTACTGATAGGGGTAAACTAGCTGTTTTAAAATAAACTAATTTTTGCAATTTAGTAGTTTGGCCATTTTAAATTTATCAATATTACATTAAAATAATGGAAGCTCCTTACTAATTGATACAATGTCACCAATACATTTTTTCCATAATTGACTGAAACAAAACAAGTTTTAAAACAACTGTTCAGAAGAAAGAAGTATATGTGGAAAGAATTTAATGAAATACCAGTTTATACAAGAAATATCAGTTTCCCTACTTGTGGGCTCTTAAAATGGCACAGATCTCACTCAATATGGCCTCTGAAGACAAAACATCATTTCTGGTTATTCTTCTTTTCCCCCTCCCCCCAAACACATAAGGGTAGCTACTCAGTGCTCTGTTTCCTGGCAGGAAATCCTTGCCCCATCTTTTAACTCTGTGTCTAAAGTAATACCAGAGAAAAAAAAACAATGTCAAGTTAGTTGGATCTTTTTAGATTTACATTTCCCAAATGCCAGGCTCTCAGTTTCCAGGCACACAGAGAAACCACTGGCCAACTTACCCTGAATGTTCCCTACAACTCTGATAGGCACCCAAAACAGCAGCAAGCTGACTGGGGGGGGGGGGGGGAGAGAGAGAGAGAGACACACACACACACACACACACACAGACATGTGTAGATATATTTTAAACAAAGCATTCAATGTGTGTCACATCAGCTCTGCAAATCCACAGTGGGGGCTGAACCCCTTTGAGGGCAGGAACCGGCTTCCCATCTGTGCTGTAAAAGGCTACATACCTTTATAACTGGGGCTGGGGACTATATTCTCTCTCATACTTCAGACTGTCCCCGCAACCCAAATAGTGTCTTCTGTCCCCACCCCAGAATGACATGAGTACAGCCCCACCTCCCCTAAACCAAGAGCCCCTGGAACTACTACCACCCCCACTCTTCCTCCAAGGGCAAAGGAAATCTCTTTCTCCCGGCCCCCAGCTTTATAGAACCAGCCTCCTTGGCCTCCTCCAAAAGGGAACAACTCGGAAATGGAGACCGGCCGAAGCCTGAGGCCTAGAGATGGAGGCAGGGACACAGGCTAGAGCCCGCTGCAATGACCCTCTGTCACCTGAAAGCCCTGAGTAAGGCAGGGCCAGCCCCCGACCTCCACTGGGCCAGGCCGGAGAGAGACCACCTCCGCCCCATTGTTCCCCGCACCGAAGCCCAGGACCCGCACTCACCGCACGGCTAGGCTCCCAGCAGCAGCAGCTTTTCTCAGCTCCGGGACACGGGGCTGGCCGCAGCACCCACCGCCTCCAGCACCGGCAGCAGAGGCCGCCTGGCCGCCGCCACCTCCTCCCCACGACCGGCTGCTACTGCTGCCTCTGCAGCAGGGGCCATCTTGTGTGTCTGCTGCCTCCCCCCAGGACTGCTCCTCCCTCCCCCGGCCTGCCTGGAGCTTCTTCCCCTTTCTTCCGCCTCCCCTTCCTGCCGCGGGAGGCCAGGCACCGCCAAGGGGGAGGAGGAAAGCAGAGTCCCTAGCGGGGGCTACACTGCTCCCCGGCTAGGGACAAATGTTGCTAACCACCCCCTCGCTTAGCCGCCCCTTCTGGAGCAAGCTTGGCTGTAGCCTTTCACACCCACCCTGGCTGTTCCCCAAACAGCAACCAGGCCCTAGCCCTTTCTGGGAAGGAGACACGCAGGTGAAACCGCCTGGCTACTCCCCCTCCTTCTCTAACAACAACACCCCCACACACGTATTTCCGAAGGGGGAGGGAGATTAATAGGTGCCCTTCCCCCAACGCTTTCTTTCTCCCTCCTCTCCCAAACGTCACCCACGCTTTTGGGCAGGGGATGGAGAAAGATTAATGACTCCCCACCCCTTATACTCAAAGGGAACCTTCCATAAGTGGAGGCTTCAGCAGTTAGTGTTGTTAGGCCTATGCATGCCAAGTGTCCCAGCTTGGGAGTAGGATGACCAGATGCCCCGATTGTATAGGGACAGTCCCGATATTCGGAGCTTTGTCTAATATAGGTGCCTATTACCCCCCACTCCCTGTCCCGATTTTTCACACTTGCTAGCTAGTCACCCTACTTGGGAGAAGTGAGTCCTTGGTTCCCTTAGCAGAAGGGCTATGCTGTGACACCTTTTTATACAGCTGTTAAAATAATTTAGAACAAAGGTAAGATATTTCAGGGCCCCCTAAAGCAGGGGTAGGCAACCTATGGCTTCGGCACGCGAGCTGATTTTCAGTTGCACTGGGCTCTGCATTTTAATTTAATTTTAAATGAAGCTTCTTCAACATTTTAAAAACCTTATTTACTTTACATACAACAATAGTTTAGTTATATATTATAGACTTATAGAAAGAGACCTAAAAACGTTAAAATGTATTACTGGCACGCGAAACCTTAAATTAGAGTGAATAAATGAATACTCGGCACACCACTTCTGAAAGGTTGCCGACCCCTGCCCTAAAGGATTAATTTGTCACATAATACCTAGCACTGCAAGCCTGTTTCTTTGGGGATTTTAAAGTACTTTCCAAGCACTGATGAAGCCTCACTGCATTAATTAGTTAGCAAATGTCCAAAGTTTAGAAGATTTAAACTGCTTTGTGAGAGCTAAATATTATTATTAACCACACCTCTGTTTTACAGATGCATAAACTGAGACATATAGGTTGTGACTTGTTCAAGGACATACTGGCAATAGAAACCAACAGTCCTTACTGCCCAGTCGTGTGCTATAAATACTAAACAAATCTGGACTTCAGTTCTGCAACTGGCTCTGTGTGATCAGACCCCAGTGCCCACATGGAGTTCCACTGACTTCAATAGGGTCTTCAGACCCATTTTCAGGATCAGGGCCTTATACTATTTTATTTCACTCTATCCTTTCAGAAAGTTAATTGAATCACACTGTATTTTAAAAGTGGGTTTAAAACACATCTTTATCCCTCCTTGTCTACAAATTCCTTTCTTACATAGGTGCTTCAGAACTATATTATTATTTATATTATACCACTCATGGACCAGGACCCCAGTGTGCTAGGCACTGTATAAACAGAACAAAAAGCTACTCTTTGCCCCAAACAGCTTACAATTTAAGTATAAGGCCTGGTCTACACTAGGAGGTTATGTCGAATTTAGCAGCGTTAAATCGAATTAACCCTGCACCCATCCACACAACGAAGCTATTTAGTTCGACATAGAGGTCTCTTTAATTCGATTTCTGTACTCCTCCCCCACGAGGGGAGTAGCGCTAAATTCGACATGGCCATGTCGAATTAGGGTAGGTGTGGATGGAATTCGACGCTAATAGCTCCTGGAGCTATCCCACAGTGCACCACTCTGTTGACGCTCTGGACAGCAGTCCGACCAGCCACACAGGAAAAGCCCTGGGAAAATTTGAATTCCTTTTCCTGTCTGGCCAGTTTGAATCTCATTTCCTGTTTGGACATCGTGGCGAGCTCAGCAGCACTGGCAACGATGCAGAACTCTCCAGCAGAGGTGACCATGCAATCTCAGAATAGAAAGAGGGCCCCAGCATGGACTGATCGGGAAGTCTTGGATCTGATCACTGTGTGGGGCGATGAGTCCGTGCTTTCGGAGCTGCGCTCCAAGAAACGGAATGCAAAGATCTACGAGAAGATCTCAAAAGCCATGACAGAGAGAGGATACAGCCGGGATGCAACGCAGTGCCGCGTGAAAATCAAGGACCTGAGACAAGGCTACCAGAAGACCAAAGCGGCAAACGGACGCTCCGGATCCCATCCCCAGACATGCCGTTTCTATGAGGCACTGCATTCCATTCTAGGTGCGGCCGCCACCACTACCCCACCACTGACCGTGGACTCTGAGGATGGGATATTGTCGACGGCCGCTTCCTCGGAGATGTTAGCGGACGGGGAAGATGAGGAAGGAGATGAGGAGGACGAGGCAGTCGACAGTGCTTACAACGCTGATTTCCCCGACAGCCAGGATCTCTTCATCACCCTGATGGAGATCCCCTACCAACCCTCTCCAGGCGTTAACCCGGACCCTGAATCAGGGGAAGGATCAGTCAGTAAGTGTTTTAAACATGTAAACATTTATTTTGAACAGAACAGGAATATTAACAATGGGTTTTTCATGATTAGTTTGCCCTAGGCGCTTAACGTTTTAGTCCTTGGCAGTGCAACTACTGCAAAAGAATCTAACAATGTCCGGTTTATCATGATTAGTTTGCCCTAGGCGCTCTACTTTTTAGTCCTTGCCAGTGCAGCGACTGGAAAATAAGGTCTATATGTCCGGGGATAGAGCTGAAATCCTCATGGGACATCTCCAGGAAGCTCTCCTGGAGGTAATTGGAAAACCTTTGCATGAGGTTCCTGGGGAGAGCGGCCTTATTGCGTCCTCCGTGGTAGGAAACTTTTCCGCGCCAGGCTATCATCAAGTACTCTGGGATCATTGCCTCGCAGAGCATGGCGGCATACGGCCCTGGTTTTTGCTGGCTTTCACGCAGCATGCGGTCTTTCTCTGTGTCAGAAATCCTCATCAGAGTGATGTCGCTCATGGTGACCTGCTTTGAATTAGGGGAATGTTAGTATTGGGACTGCTTGCCTGTTCCTTTACATAACTGTAACCGGCGGTTTACAGCCACGCGGTGGAGGCGGGAGAGGGGCAGCATACAGGGATCTTTCCCGGGGACAGCCGCGAGGGGGTGGGACAGGGGCAGAGTTCATGCTTGCCGGATTGCCGGCAGCAGGAACTGGCCAACGCTAGGAGCATTGCTTTGAACGTGAAAGGAGGGCACTGCTATAAATTAAGTTTTAAGCAGCCAAAAGTCTACAGCTTACCATGTCAGCCTGCTATCCGAATTCCGCTGTCCTGCCCCGCTTGTCTGATCTCCACTGCAAGACCCCAGGCACTGAATGCGAAGGCCGAAAATTCGACCTTATCCTGAGTGCGCATGTGATAGGTGCTGTGCATGGTCTTCTTCACAGAGAAAGACTATGTTCATTGTTCACAAAAATGTATCTTTGTGAGGAATTCACTCCCTTTTTCCCATCCCACAGCTGCGAATGTCTCCCGACCTACCCCGGCATCCCCCTCCCAGAGGCTGGCGCAGATTAGGCGGAGAAAGAAAAGGACACGGGACGACATGTTCTCAGAACTTATGGGCTGCTCCCGAGCCGAGGCGGCCCAGCAGACCCAGTGGAGGGAGAACATGTCGCAATACCAGCGAGCACACAGCGAACGGGAGGAGAGGTGGTGGCAGGAAGACCAGCAGGCGACTCAAACACTGCTTGCATTAATGAGGGAGCAAACGGACACGCTCCGGCGCCTTGTGGATGTTCTGCAGGACCGGAGGCAGGAGGACAGAGTCCCGCTGCAGTCTATCTCTAACCGCCCTCCCCCGCCACAAAGTCCCATACCCCCCTCACCCAAAGTCCCAAGAAGGAGGGGCGGCAGGGGCCGTGAAAACTGTCACTCCACCCCTGCAGATTGCTCAAGTACCAGAAGGCGCTCATTCCCAAAAATTTGATAAGTCCTTTCCTTCCCGCCTCACCCAAGCCCCCGTCCCAGTTTCATCCCCTAACTGTTTAGTTGCTAATAAAAAATACATTTCTGTTAATTACTGTTTCCGTCATGTTCTTTTAGAGGAGAGTGTGTGTCAAGGCTGTATCCCCACTTTGAACTTTAGGGTACAAATGTAGGGGCCTGCATGAGGACTCCTAAGCTTAACTACCAGCTTAGTTCTGGTCCGCTGCCACCATCCCAAAGCTAATTCCCTTCCCTGGGTAGCCTTGAGAGACCTTCACCAATTCCCTGGTGAATACAGATCCACACTCCTTGGATCTTAAAACAAGGAGAAATTGACCCTTCCCCCCTCCTTCCTTTCACCAACTCCTGGTGAATACAGATCCAAACCTCCTTGGATCTTAAAACAAAGAGAAATCAATCATGTTCTTAAAAAGAAGGCTTTTAATTAAAGAAAAAGGTAAAAATCATCTCTGTAAAATCAGTATGGAAAATAACTTTACAGGGTAATCAAACTTAAAGAGCTCAGAGGACCCCCCTCTGTCTTAGGTTCAAAGTACAGCAAACAAAGATAAACACTCTGGTAAAAGGTACATTTACAAGTTGAGAAAACAAAGTAAATCTAAGATGCCTTGCCTGGCTTTTTACTTACAAGTTTGAAATAGGAGAGACTTGGTTAGAAAGATGGGGAGAACCTGGATTGATGTCTGGTCCCTCTCAGTCCCAAGAGCGAACAACCCCTTAAACAAAGGACACAAAACAAAAGCCTTTCCCCCCCCCAAGATTTGAAAGTATCTTGTCCCCTTATTGGTCCTTAGGGTCAGGTGTCAGCCAGGTTACCCGAGCTTCTTAACCCTTTACA